AGGGTGATATATAACAATACCCTTTTTAACAACCAACTTGAGACGCTTTGAAAGTTGCATACTATCTTCTTTTAACTTCTGGTAAGAGAATCATCAATAATGGTTGACTTTTTTTCCCAATAAGTTCATGTATTCCATTTTATACTCTTAATTTGTACTCCTAAATACAAAATTGTGATGTAAACACTTATATTGGGACCTACATAAAAATAAAAAATTAAAAAAAAAAAAAAAAAAAAACTTATCTGAATCTGCCAAATCGGGTACTAAAATTTAGAGAATAATATTAAAGAGTACATGTAGTAGAACTCATAAGAAAAATGATGAAAAAGAAGAGACAAAAAAACTCCAATTAACACGCCTAGCGGGTTTATATATATATATATATATATATATATATATATATATATATATATATATATATAAAATTTCATTTTTTTCCTAGATTTATAGGTTGTAGTCAATTTTTAATTTTTTTTTTATCAGAACATCCTCATTTGGTCCTATTATTATTGTGGCATGACCATTTTTTGTCCTCTGTCAAGAAAATCATTAAAATGTCGTTAAATACAAAGACACTTCGATCTTTTTTATACAAAGTATATTAACCCACTATATACTTTATATTTATTATTTTGAAAAAAAAAATCAAAATTGAAGATTGAAATGCTCTTGTATTTGACGAAATGTAAACTATTTTGTAGATGGAGAACAAAAAATGGTCATGCCACAATAATACTAGGATCAAAAGCGAATATTTTGAAAAAAAGAATTAAAAGTGGACTGTCACCTATAAATTTGGGACCAAAAATGAAATTAATTATATATATGTGTGTGTGTGTGTGCGCGCGCGCGCAAAAACAAGTCCCTAAAAGAAAACTAAAAATAAATCTCAATTTTACATTTGAAAAAATCATACGGATCATATCTTATTTTTTTTTAAAAATGTGATGGCATTTTCGTTATTATCACCAACTTTACTATGCAAACGTGGGTTAAAGTATCTATGAGGTCCCTATACTATAGTCTTTTGTTCAATTTAGTCATTCTACCTTAATTTTGTTTAATTTAGTCCTTGTATTTTAAAAAGTGAAACAATTAAGGACAATCGCTGATATGACGTTGACATCTTATCTGTCACATCATCATACTTACATGCCAACTCATATATTATTTTATAAATATTTAAAATTACTTATTTTTACCACCAATATATTACATAATATGTCCTAAATAAAAACATAAATATCAATTATTGTCCTTAATCGTTTCACTTTTTAAAGTACAAAGACTAAATTGAAAAAAATTAATGTAGAAGGACTAAATTGAACAAAACGTTATAGTACAGGGATCTCATAAGTACTTTGACCGCAAACTTGAACTGTAAAATATGCACTTCTCAAAATTTTATAGTTTTGCACATTTAGTTGTTTCAAAATGCATATTTAGTATTAACATATTGCACATTTAGTATTAAAAATTTGCACTTGCAAAAGTTCATTACACTTCAATTCCGAATTTTAGAGTTTATGATTAAGTTATTGATTTTTTTTAGGGTTCACTTTTTACTGTTTAAGGTCTAACCTTTACAATTTAGATTTAAATTTTAATTTTTCATAGATTTTTGGAATAAAGGTCAAATAGGACATCCAACTACACACCAAACTACAATTAGGCCATTGAACTCAAAAAAACAACAATTGGGTCCCTAAACAATCCAAATTCTTGCAATTTAATCTAAAATGACTTGCTTACCTATTAATTGATGACATGTCGGTTTCTTTATTTTAAAATAATTTTTAATTTTTTAAAAATAATTTTTAATTAAATAAATATTAAAAAAAAAAAAAACAGCCGGAGACCCATTCGTCTCCGGCTCCGTCCAGCTATGGGGCGAAGGGGCCCTTCGTCTCCATGGCTGGATGAAGGGGACGGAGACGAAGCCCTTTGTCCAGCCATGGAGACGAAGGGATCCCATGGACAACCCTTCGTCTCCATGTCTGGATGGAGCCGGAGACGAAAGGTTCTCATGGCTGGCCGGAGACGAAAGGTTCTCATGGCTGGCCGGAGATGAAGGGGTCTTCGACTGTGTGCGTGTGTGTGTTTTTTAAAAAAATTGAAAATATTTATTTAATTAAAAATTATTTAATTTTTTAAAAAAATATTATTTTAAAATAAATTAACCGACAAGTCATCATATTAAAAGGTAGATAAGTCATTTTAGATTAAATTGCAAGAATTTGTGTTATTCAGGGACCCAATAAGTCATTGACCCTCATTCCTTGATTTTTTTTAAAATTTATCCAGGATTGTATTTTTTTTTCGTTCATCTATACTTTCTTAACCTATTGAAAGTACAAAGAGTCAACACCACCTCCACTGAGCCTCGATCTTATGAACAGCCATATGGGAGAGTCACTACATGCCATCTGAGCATAAAGTGCTTGGCCAAGATAGCATATTTAGTTGTTAAAGAATGCATATTTAAGTGTTCAAGTTTGTAAATTGAAGTTGACGATAATTACGAAAATACAACCATGTTTTTTAAAATATATGATCAGGTACATTGAATATTTTGTTATGAATAGTTTTTTTCGCGTTTTAAAATATTTTAATTTTTTGCCGCCCACCACCCCCCCTGCTCCCCCCCCCCCAAAAAAAAATAAAAAATATGTTTAGCTCCGCCTTTTTGTAAGTTTTGTTTTATAAATTCTTATTAATACTTAATTTATTATTTATTATGATAACAATGTTATTGTTTGTAACCGTTATTGTTTGTAACCTCTTTTAGTTTTAAATTGTTTATTCGTTTTTATAAACTATAATTATTTATTTATGAATGCACTGATGTAGTTATCTATCGATCATTTTACGTTTAGAAAAATACCTATAAATTTTTATTTTTTTACATGATTATTGTTGTGTATGTAAAATTATTAAAAAACTTGTGAATCTTATTTCAAGTTATTTGATATTAGCATTTTTTTCATATATAATTAAAATTTTAAGTATAATGCTAATTAAGTAGGGCATTTTTTTCATCATGCCCCGTGCTTATAAAACAATAAGACCGGGCTTGCCCCTGACCTCTCATAAATTGCAAGAGTAACTTACCAACTTAACTAACTCATCTTTCATTACTTATATCGTTGTATCTGTAATTTTTTACTTATACTCTAAACATGTACTCTATATATATGTATATATTTACAAGGCCTATATATGGGGTTGGGGCGGAGGGAGTGGAGCAGCTGCCCTCACAGTGGGTCTGCTCATGATTGTAATACATGTAAGCAAATAAAATAATAATAAAAATTATTGTTCAAAAAAAGCATGCCATGTCATCTTGAAAACACCAAAATTGCATGGATAAAGATAGCCTAAGATAACATGAACCAAACATGGGGATGCAACATTGTAAAACTCATATTCTCTTGGTTATGTTGTATAATTTGAACCAAACACTCAGGTTTAAGCTAACTTATAGAGAAAATATCAATTTTGGTCCCACAAGCATTAGCAAAATGATAGTTTTGGTCTACATGTTTAATTCCTATCAATTTTTATCAATGACTATTGTTTTAGTATCAATTTTCATTCACGACTATTGTTGTAGTGCCAGAATTCATCACGTCGATTACCAAGACATGCCAATATAAAATTATTAAGGATATTTTTGTCCTTTTCAAATTAAGATCGATCCCAATTTGAGCATGAATAAAGAGATTTAAGTCCTAAGTTCAATATCAATTCACAGTTCTCTTCCTCAAATTAAGCTAAGATGAGAATGAGAACTGCGAATTAGGATCGATCTTAGAGTTTAAAATTTTAAATCCCTTTATTCATGATCAAATTAGGATCTTATGTTAAAAAAAAAATCGTGAATGAAGGAGGAGGGCCCGGGTGGGGGGCACATTTTCTTTATTTTAATTTTATTTTTAAGGTTTTTAATCTAAAAATTTTTAAAATAAAAGTTAAATAAATTAGTCGGTCATCGATAATTTGGTCGAAAAATTTAACGGCAGGACCAAATGTGATACAAATTGAATAGTTATGCACCTAATTTAAAAATATTAATAGTCAAGGACTAAATGTGATACAAACTGAATAGTCATGCACCAAATTCAAAAATTTTAATAATCAAAAACTAAAATTGAAACTTTTATAATAGATTAACTAAAAATGATATTTTTCTCTAATTTATTAACTATATATACATAGGGCATGTTTGGTTAATGACGGATCCGTCATTTTTTTGGCGGATCCACCATGTTTGGTCAAACCGCCAAAACTAGTGTTTGATTAGGCAGCGGTTTGCTCCAAACCGCTGCTTTTGCAAACACTGCAAAGAGCAGCGTTTGCAATGAGCGTTTTGGGGAAAATAAAATTTTCTCCAAAACACCCCTATTTATAAAAAAAAAAAATTAAATTAAATTTTTAACTAAATAACTAAGGAGCCGAAATTCGGCTCCTCAATGTTGCCCATCCCCCGAGATGGGCAACAAGTATGCATAGACTTGTGGAGCCTTGGGGCTCCTTAAATAGGAGCCTCAAGGCTCCATTCCCACTTTTCCCACCGATGTGGGACGGTGGAAAAAGTGGGAAATCAAGAGGGGAGCAGCTTGCGCGGCTCCCTTCTTCTTTTTTGTTTTTTTTTTTTTTAATTATTTTTTATTTAATTATTATTATTAAATGACATTTTATTATTATTATTATGTATGTATGTCTTTGTAGATCATTTTACATGTTAACCGCTAATTTTATCAAATACTTTTTTGTAAATCGTTCATTCAATCTGCTGATCAAACTCACTAATATAATCGGTTATTTTATAACCGCTAACACAATCTGCTATCGCTAATCGCTGATAATCAAACAAGCCCATAATCTGAGTCATGATAAATCTTTGTCCATGATAATGATGAATCCTGGTATGCTCCGAACCCAAAGCGGTTTTTGGCGGCCCCTGGTTTTCAATTTTCTTCATATTTTACGCAGCAATGCTTTTCAGTTTTGTCCACTCAGGAAAATTCCAGAATTCTTAACACTGTACTGCGACAGCTGAAGGAGAAAAAAATATTAGTCGTCTTCCCTTTCCGAGAATCGGCGGCAGTTAACCGCATAGTCATTTGGTCGATACGTCAGCCATGGTGGGACGACGGGTGGTGTCAAAACCCAGCCGGAGCGACGAGATTTTAGATCCCGATCAGCAGCTTCAGATCGCCGAGCAAGTCAGAGCTCAATTCGACGCCCTCGCCCCGAAAAGACCCGCCAAACCTAACCGGAGCGAGCCCGATTCATCACTCCCAATGCCCGCCGGAGACATCCCTATTCCTGAACTTGATAAGCTCCAATCCCTCCGATCGCAAGTCCGTATGAGTATATGATTCTGCATATAATTTATACTGTTTTCTGTTCATACTATACGTTTGATGCGACCTTACCTCTTTGATCATCAGGCTGTATTTTTAGAAACTGATAAAGTGGAGCAAGAGGAATTCGTAGAGACTCACTATTACGATGAGCTGGTTTCTATTGACAAGCAGCATCATACGGTTTGTACATTTCATAGTAACATGTTAACATAACATTTTTGAGTGAAAAGGGAACCTAACCGCCACACGGGATAAATCTTGCCTTGCCACCCAAGATAAATCACCCTAAATTGGACCGATTTAAACAAGAATGTGAAGGCGACTTGTAATCTTGTGATTACCAAGTTAACAATCTGATTAGAAACCAAGTGGCTTGTGGTCTACTGGTATCGGATTGCTCCCCTCAATTAAAATTGACTAGATAAATTACTAGTTAGGCGTAGTTTGTGTGGTAAATACGATGGTTCCGTTCCTTTTTTAGTCTGCTTGTTAGTTTAAGTTCTGAGTTCGGAAATAACGTGAGGTCAAAGGATCCCAAGCTATGTGGCAGATCAAAAATGTCAAAAGTCTCCCTTACAAGCATTTAATGTTGTATTTATAGTGGTGAAAGAGAACACATGCCAATCTCCCAGCATGTGTGACACGTGGGGCACATGCACACGGGCATGCCGGAGGTTATACTGATTCTTCCACGTGTTTTGGGATTCCTGACCTCCTCTCGTTTTTGCGGCCATTGGATTCGGGCCGAGGAACATTGCTAAAGCCTCAAGTAGAGAGGATCGGGCGACACTTCCTGACCTAAGATTGTCGGGGTGAATCTGAAAGGCGAGTAGGTACAGTACAGACCCTACCCTACTCAACATGTTTATTTAGGTTGAGTCGGTATGTTCTAAGGTTGATAATGCTCGGGAATTATTCCTCATGATGAGACGGTCGGATATCGAGCTAATATTGGAAATGTATAAGTATGGTACACTCGGGAAATATTCCGTATCAAAGGTAAATCAGCTTATGTTGTCTATAACTGATCAATTTAAACCAAAAGGCTAATTGACACCTCGGGTGAGACTTGAACTTGTAATTTTGTAATTCCAAAACTGTTGCCCAATAGTTTAGAAATTGCCCCTAATGTTATGTTATGTTGTTAACATAACATTTGACTGAAAATTAATGGTGAATTCTACCGGTTGTGACAGACGGGAACTGGGTTCATAAAGGTGGGTGGTGAAAACGGATACGAGTTTCAGTTGAACCAAGGCCAAGAAAACTGCAGCAATGGATTCAAAGCTGCAGTGTTCAAGACTAATCCTGGAACTAATGATTGGATTCCCAGCGTTGAAGATCAGGTGTGATTATAATACTTCAATTGGAAAGGCTGTTGCTTTTTGTACTTTAATTTAATCTAAAACATGCACTTTTTTAGTATGATTTTGTTGCATCTTTGTAACCTCAGGTCCAGTTTTCTTCTTCCAAGCCAAATCGGAGCGAGGGTGACTAGACCACCGGCCAACTACGAGTGTACTCTAGGGTGAATCAGATCGAGTCATCTAGAAGCAGAGAATAAAAAAAGAAGTGAATAAAAAGTGAGAGATTTGCTTTAATATTTAGTAATTAGATATGAGTTGGAATCCCAACATTCTCATTTCTTGATCTGTGCCACCAAATGGTGGTACTTATAATGTCGTCAAGGTTCTGTTGTTGTAATTGTGTTTGAATATCTAAACATGTCGTCTAGATTCTCTGCAATGTGTATATAGATAGCTGCTTGTAATACTGATTATGGGTTGAATCTCATTCTCAATCCAGATATACCAAACCTCAATTCTCTTCAACACTGTTCATCATAATTCTGAAACACAAATCATCAATTCAACCCAAAGCTTGCAAAATCAATGCAAATAATGGCTTGGTTCCATTGTCTCTGCAAACTTGAATTGGAAAAAATAATAATTTCTTCTCATTTATACTCTAGTTATGGGTAATGGGTATAGTTTATATATAAAAAAAGAAAAAAAGGAAATTGCAGAAGTAAGAAGCACAAACAACAAGGAGTGGAGTAGCAGTATATACATTACTCTCCACATTGAATTGAAGAAAATTTGCAGAACGGTAACGGGTCGGGTCATCTTCTTTCTTCAATGTCATTCACGAACTCATTCCAATCCTTTTCCTCTTTGATTCTTTTCATTAGAGTTTCAACCGCAATATCAAACGCATCTTTCACCGTCGGGAGCCCCTCTTTCGGCCGTGAATAGATCAATTTGGGTATAATTTCCACCACTTTTTCCCTCATTTTTCTGATATCTTCCTTGCTATACTGTTCCAGGATTCCCCGGATGGACGTCCCGTTCCTCACGGCGTCGTGGTCGATGAACACCGAGTAGCTCGCCGGGTCCTCCGGCAAGAACCACTGGTACTGAGCGTAGGCCGTTTTGCGCCAGAAAAAGACCGGGACTGAACCGGCGATCATGCAGTCGAAGACCGACCGGCGGGTCATGCTGTCGCCTTTGGGCTGCAGGCAGAAGTCGGAGCTGAGGAACGACGCTTGGATGGCGGAGGAGCCGTTGGAGCACTGAGTCACCGCGCAGTCGACGACGCGGCACGCGTCGGACTCGTTGCGGCAGTATTGGATGAGGAGGGTGCGGAAGTCGCCGGCGATGTCGGCGCGTGTGGCGCCGATGAAGGTGAAGAGGCTGGTGCGGTTGCGTGTGAGCACGAAGCGCTGCCACTGGCGGAGCTGCGAAACGGAGCTGGGGTGGAATCCGGTGGGGTACGGGACGCCGACGTCGGAGGTGTCCCACGGGGCTCTCTCGATGATGAAGCGCGTGACGTTCTCCATCGCCGGGAGGTTGAGGAGGCTGGAGCCCCATTTCTGATCCGCATCCATTAAACGGCGGAAATCCCATGTGATTCGCCCTATGGTAAGGAAATGATCTGAGCCGTTGGATTTCTTCCAATACGTCTGATTCTGGACCCACTCCAGCATCATATCGCAGAGCCGATCCCGCTTCTCGATATCGTCGATCCATAAATATTTCCCGACGGCCTGTCCGGCGTAGAACGGAATATAAAACACCGTCGCCGATTCCGGCTCCATCGTCCGGCACCGGTAATTCAGTAGCCGGTGGTGAAATATCACCTCCGACGAGAACTGATTCGTCCGATACCACGCCTTAGCCAGTTTCCCCGGCAAGATCCCGGCCATCTCCATCGCCCTCATCCCGTACCCCTCGTTGGTGTTCACCCCGCAATGCCATATCCAAGGGTGCAGATCCGTGCAGTTCTTCAAACCCAAATCCTCGTTAAACATCGGCGGCAAATCGTACACATAAACCCTACCGAACTCACACCCTCCTCCCCCATCCTTGGGCGGCTGAGCCACAGCATCGCCGCGGCGCGCGGCGGCCGGAAGCGTAATCGTTTGAGGGGGAACCTGGGCATGAGTGGAGAAAGAGAGCGGCGAATTCCGGGTAAAGAAAACGACAAGAAGCTGGATAAAGAGAAAGGCGGAAAGAAGCCAGAATCGTGGATGAGCAGCGATTTGGGATTGGAAAGAATTGTAGAAGTGATAAGAGGATTTGGGTTTTGGCGAGGGTTGAAGATGATGATGATCTGAGGGAGAATTGGAACGAAAATCTGACAGCATTTTAGAGCTGCCCCGACTTAGAAATCGAATCGCCGTAGAAAGAATGGGTTTGGAGTGATGATAGATAGAAAAGAGGGAATGAAGGAAGTAAGGAGAAGACTGCGGACAAAACATGTGATTTGGTTTATGTAACTGTCCAGTAGAGACACTACCGGAACTGGTGAGAATGAGTTACCCCCTATTTTACACCGACACACCGCCATTTTTACTTTTACTATTTTACCTCTCTATTTTTTTCTTTCTATTTTCATTCTTCCATGATTGAACCTCAACCCTAAGGCCCCCACATCCCAACCGACAGAACATCTAAGAAGATGTAAATCATGGTAATTCAATTGAACATGAATCACAGAGCTAGACATTTGTTCACTGCGCACAAAAAATTCCATCATTTTAAAAGGTTGCTGCCACACTGCCACTGGTGAGACTGGCTCCCCTATTTCTTATTTTCATCATTTTTCTTTATGAGGTGTCTCTATTTAATTAGAAATAAATTTAAATCATATATTTTTCTTTAAAAGGAGTAAAGTGTATTTTTCTTTACCTTTTTTTGACAAAATTACTTTCATTTTTAGATTTAATACCATGTTTAGCTCTGATAGATAAATCTTTATCGGTCATGTTTATCTCAAATAAAACCTCACAAAAACAAAATAAATCTTTAATTAAATTAAAAAAAACACCGTGACATTAGGGTATGGAAACATAGGTTTTATAGCGAATGGTGTAAGTTGAGTGAAGGTACGAGGTCCCTCTTGAGTGTGGAGCGATGATTAAACCGCCAACCGGCAGGGGGTCCCACTAGTTGTTCGCCATGGGCCTCTATATATGTTCATCCCTCAGTGAAGCCAGACTCATTCCCCCACGACGATACATACACTACGCACCAATATTTCATTTACTTCGTATTTGCCGAAATCAGTAATTTCACACCACTTTTTATTATTGGGTCAAAGTGTTATACAAGATTTGTATAAATTTAATATTATTATGAGCATTAATATATTAATATTTGAAAATCTATAGACATTAGACCAGTTGAGAATTGAGAGACATTTCGTAATATTTCCTCCACCTATCAAATATTAACAATCTAAATGTAATCCTTTGTTAATTAAATCAAATATTAACAATCTAAATATAATCATTTGGTAATTAAAATCACAAGATAACGTTTTTCTGGGAAGGAAAAAAAAAAAGCAGTGAAAAACTGTTACGTTTGAAGATGAAACCTAATATTTTGGGTCAAAGAAAAATATTCGAAAAGGTTAAGCGGGCCAACATAGCGTGATGAAGGCGGAAGTGTCGGCTAACAAGGAAAGTATTAAGATTTAAGGGGCCGGGATTCACGTTTCGTTTTGGAACGTAATTGAATAGGATTGGGCGTAGTTTTTGGAAATTACGCGTCACGTTGTGTTTACCAACCAATAAATAGGGTTTGATGGCTTCTTAAACTTCGCATTTTGTGTCATCTTCTTTATATAAAGTCAATAAATAAAATTCATAAATTATGGCTACCTAATTTACGTGACGTTGCACACTTAAAACTACTATTTCTTACATACAATATATATATATAAAATTGCAAACTTTTTTCTATTTCAACCAAAATATTCTAAAACAATTATAATGCCAAAAGTTCGACTCTAAAAGATATATAATATTAAAAGAATAAGTAAGTATACCTTTCAAGAGTGTTAGAAGTTACATATTAGTTGTGAATTCGATTCTTACAAACATCGAGCTATTACGCTATTGACTGAATTTGTTGCACGAGGTCCTCCTAATGAAGTTTATCTTTCATGTGTGATTTGCGTGTTATTACACGATGGTGAATGTATCCACTGCATATTATCGAATAGTGATTGCAGTTCTTCCTTCTTAAAAAAAAAAAAGTTGAATGTATATTAATTACATTATTTATGCCATAAATGCAGCACATGCGAAAGTATCTAAGGGCAAATGAACATATGGGGACAACTGAAAATTCTTCAAGAAAAGGTCATCATCAGGAGTTTGTCTTTTTTTGTAAAGTTGACAATGTGTATTATGGTAGAGTTTACATCATAAATAGGCATTTTTTGGATTAGTTTCTAAGCTATACTTGACACTTGAGTAAGCATTGAGGATGGTTCAATAACTACAAAAAGATTGAGAGTTATAGTTATGGTTGAGTGAGCACCGAAAGAATGTTGGAAAACAAAAAGAGGGTCGAAAAGTGTTCTAAGACCAAACTGCGTAAGAGGTTTAATTAAAGGTACATATTATTATTATATTGTAAGTATTTTTGTATGAATGTTTTGAGTTTTTACTCTCTTTTTTTTTCTTGGTGTCAGAAAATTAAAAAATTCACATTTACTATTTAAAAGTGTGTAATGTACTAATGTGTAAATCCAATAATATGTTTTTATCTACAAACTACACAAGAAAAGTAAATCACACTAGAAAGGTCTTATGTGACGGGATTGGTTGAAAGTGTGTTAGTAAGAATCGAATACCCGACTTCTTTTGAAGTCCTTGGAGTTTATTTTATTTAAATGAGACTCTTGGAATTTTAAGGGTTTCACCATTTATGTTTTGCATTCTATTGTTATAGTAATGAAATTACTCATGATTTGTCTTTACATATAAATTGCACTTACCAATATAAATTATGTTATGTTAACATTTCTTGTTATGTTTTTCCTCCAAATTATGTTATGTTAACATTTATTGGTTGGTCCTTATAAATTAGCTATTCGATTCAATTAATCTATCATGAGTTTCAATTTGAGAAAAACTTCAATTGATCCCTATTTGGATGCTTGTTATATGTCATATAACCTAAATGCATTCTACTTACAAAAGAAAATTGTTATTCTCCTAAGAAAAAAAAGTGGAGAAACTAAAACAAAAAATACAAGCCAACTATCATGTAATGTGATGGCATCCCGATTACCATTTCAAATATATGGATGGTCATAAGTACGAATCCTGGGTTGAAAATGTTTGAGAAAGTATAGAACAGATACTATATAGTAAAGAATCATGGGTATTTCAAAACAAAAAATACAATTTTCTTTTAAATTTAAAAATAAATAATGAGGGATGAAAATAAATAAAAAAAAAAATTGAAGTAGACGTCATCATCTAAGAGATTATATTAGTAAAAATTTCCTATATTTTATGTAATTCATATGATGTGGAGGAGAATGACAACCGAAAAGAAAAACTATCTCTAACAGTAAATACATATAGACTGGTTGTACGCTTTTTGAAAAAGTTTTTAAGGTGGGAGACAGAATGAAAAAAGAGGCACAAGTCTCATTTGGTCCATAGACCACAATACACTTGCCTAATTGGTATGTCATCACCGCTTACCAGTATTTATTTATTTATTTTTATTTTTTCAGTTAAGTCTGATAAAAAAATTTCAATTCTAAATTTAATTTTTGGAAGCTCTATGATTTTTTCTTCTAAAACAATGTAGTTGAGACCATCAAATCAATCAAGTAGGTTTTCATTGTTTACCAAATGTCGATTGCAATTGCCGTCGGCTCTACTCTTACGAGCTATTTTTTTTTCTTTAGTTTTTTTTTTTTTTGGGTAAATTATTAGTTTGTTTCATTTTCCTGTGCCCCGCAGTGTTAACGTATGCTTAGGTTAGACTTCACAAATTCGTCGATTTCCTTATGAATGAGTGCAAGCGTCCCCTATGAAGATACGCCACTTTCATATATTCTTATCCAATCATGTCATTTGGTCTAGAAGATGAGTCTGACTTATTGAAGGTAAATATGTTACCGGGTATGTGTGTAAGTAAACAAAATATATTATTTTAGAGAGTTTGAGTACGAAGTTCAGAGCATGTCCTTGCCTAATGAAAAAACAGTCCAAATAGTAATGGAGAGCCGAGTCTATATTAAGTATGGTATTTTGTATTCACCATAATTGTCTCCTTTTGAATAGATGGTGCTAGAGTAAATGTTTCTGCTCGTAGTCTTCTCAAGTACCTGTCTAATTATCCTATCACTTATAACAATGAAAGAGCAAATAATGTCCATAAAAAAATTGTGTCGAATAAGGTTTTTGAATCCTGACTCACTGTCCTTTGGTTCATTCGACCACGATTGACCTTGTTGCTCCTTTTCAGACGCACCGTATATTTTCACGAACAAACATATCTCAAGACTGCTCTCATACACGTGTTAGCATGCTGTTAGGATTTTGAAATACTTTAGATTCCTTGTTTATCTATAGTTACAATTTCTATACACGAGAAGAGGTTGACATTCTACTGTTATAATAATACCTTGCTGCCCGCATGGGTAGCTCAACTGGTCATAGAGGTGAAACTTTGGAATAATGATCAGGGATCGAGTCTCACCAGTGACAGTGAGGGGGGCTCCTTGTGCGTAGTGAGCACCTGTTTAGTCTTTGTGGTTCATGTTTAGTTGAGTCACTATGATTTACATCCTCCCAAATGCTCTGTCGGGGAATAATAATACCTTGCTTTTGTTTCAAACCCAAGCCCATTCATTCCTTATTGTTTATTCATATTTCCATTGATCACTTTAAGCTAAAATTTAATAATTTATATTGAGATAGTTGGGTTAATTAACACAAATGTTATGTTTAAATTTTGTTAATTTGATGTTAGGGGATTCATTTATCTTATAGGGACATTTGAACATAAGGTTCATTTGATTTAAGCATGCATTTTGCTGTCTTTAAGGACAATATCTCATTGATGGTAACATATATATATGGAATTGCGGCGTGTTCATTAAGTCACTTCACATGTTGTGTAAATTTGTAGGCCCATAATAGACATGCTGTCCATATTAGCCCACACATTTACACAGCCCAAGTGGATCATGGTGGATTGTTATATTGTGCACCAGGCGCACAATGCATTGTGCGTCCTAACTCAAAACGATGACCTTTTTATAAGTTGGTGGAAAGTTGACGCGACGGACAACGTTTTGTCCGTCTAATCTCGTTTTTTTTTTTTTTTTTTTTTTTTTTTTTTAAATACTTGTGTTTATGTGTATTATGTTAAGAGTTTATATGTATTATATTAAAAGTTTATGTGTATTATACATTATGTTAGATGTTTGATTATATGTATTATGTTAGGAGTTTATGTGTATTATACTATACAATTCTATACATACGAAACATGAAATTCTTTTTTAGAAATTAATAGCAGAAACGAGATATAGAATTAAAAGATACAAAACGATGTCGTTTTGGGTCAGGACGCATGCATTGTGCGCCCTGGTGCATGATATAATTTGCTGGTCATGATAGATCCCAATTTTTATGGACAACATTCATGTTGTATTATGTATTGTGTTGTGTGTGCATGTAACATTATTTATTTATTTTGATAACTTGGATTTTCTAGTTTTACTGGACTGTACTATATGTTGCCCGCAACCATGAGCAAATTATTGTGTAAAACATGGTCCACACAGTGCTATGTGAACCATAACAAAAAGTGCATTTTAATATACTAATAAGATATTATTTGTGTAATTGTATCCTGAAGGTAGATTATATAAAATAATGTACTTTTTTCATGAATAAAATGTATATTTTTAATATATTAAAAGTATATTATTTATGTACTGAATTAAATTATTTGATAATATAGACCACACAATTATGTGGATCCTGGTCCACATAACAATGATTGGCAAACCATATATGTAGGTAGTTTGGTAGGGGGTTGCTAGAACTTCAACTTGTATATATTGCATAAAATTTAAAATAAAGGGACATCATCCGGCCTGGATTTAAGAACTCTCCACTCTTCTTCTGGTGCTTCATCTCTTCTCCCTCAATACCTTTCAGTTTTGGATTTAAGAACTCTCCAGTCTTTAGTGTTAGGGTTCCCCTTCTTCTTATTGCTAGGTAAACACTAAAACCTCTACACATTATAACAATTATATTCTTCCCATAATATAATTGTAACAATTTAGTGTAACAATTATAACAATTATATTCAAACTTTTAAAATCAAAGTAAAAAAAAAAACACAAATTTTTTTGTGACTATCACACCACGTACTGTCACTGGGATTTGTCATATTTACTTGAGGCAGCAGAGGATTTCCACAAGAGCGGCACACGCCTGAGTTTCCTTGCCACGTTGAATGCTATATTAGGTTATCAATTGAAAAAGCTCCTCCAAAATGGATAGAATTCCTCGTCCAGTAAGGAAACCTTGTAAATGTAATCATTATCCTCGTATAATTGACTGTGAATTTATGATCTATGATTTCTTATATACATATGATGAATGTTTGAATGTTGTATCACTTGTCTGCTTTCTAATCAAAACTCGATCTCTCAACATATTTGGGTTGATATGTCTTTGTACCACGAAAAACAAAAGCTTCCGTTACTGCCTCAATCCGACGAGGGAGAGGGAGCGTTTGAGTATTCCCAGAGAGTGCACATCCACGGCGGCGATGAGGCGGAGGAGGAGGAGGAGTTCACGGCGACGCCGCCGTTTTCATGGAAGAAGCTGTGGCTGTTCACCGGGCCGGGGTTCTTGATGAGCATAGCGTTTTTGGATCCCGGGAACCTGGAGGGCGGGTTGCAGTCGGGGGCCATTGCCGGGTACTCTTTGCTGTGGCTGCTGATGTGGGCGACGGGGATTGGGCTGCTGGTGCAGCTGCTGTCGGCGCGGCTTGGGGTGGCCACCGGGCGGCACCTGGCGGAGGCCTGCCGGAGTGAGTACCCCAAGTGGGCCAGGCTGCTGCTGTGGATTATGGCGGAGTTTGCCCTCATCGGAGCGGATATTCAGGAGGTGATCGGCAGCGCCATTGCCATCAAGATTCTCAGCAGAGGCTACTTGCCTCTCTGGGCTGGCGTCTTCATCACTGCTTTTGATTGGTAATTTCAATTCTCCCCAAAATTAATCACTACCTAAACGCTTCAAAGCTGTGATATTTTTCACTAAAACTCAATTCTTGTGTCACCATCAGTTTCATATTTCTGTTTCTTGAGAACTATGGAGTAAGGAAGCTTGAAGCACTTTTTGCATTCCTTATCTCAGTCATGGCACTCTCGTTTGCATGGATGTTCGTACAGACCAAGCCCAGCGGTGTTGAACTTCTTCTTGGTAATATACAATCCCAACTAAGTTGATAACACTACTGATTTAGTAATCCAAACAGATTCTCCATAGTATCTGTTCATACATATTTTCTCAACCTACTGAAACACAAAAAAGTCAATGCCCAAATACTGGAATTTGAACCTGAGACCTCCACAGCTATGCCGCTCGACCAGAAGGCCTTTTGACTAATTCAATGAACTAAAAAAGTGATTTAAATGCAGGGATTGTGGTTCCAAAAATCAGCTCAAAAACTGTAAAACAGGCGGTGGCAGTAGTGGGGTGCAGTATAATGCCTCACAACGTATTTCTCCATTCCGCTCTGGTCCAATCGCGGGACATTGACACCCGCAAGATCGGCAAAGTCCGGGAAGCGATCAAATACTACACGATCGAGTCCTCGGTGGCGCTGGCGGTCTCGTTCGTCATCAACGTCTGTGTTACAACGGTGTTCGCGAAGTCGTTTTACGGCACCGAGGTTGCCGAGAACATCGGCCTGGTGAACGCGGGGAATGCTCTTCAGGAGAAGTACGGCGGGGGGTTGTTCCCGATTCTTTACATATGGGCCATCGGCGTTCTGGCCGCCGGTCAGAGCAGCACCATCACCGGCACCTACGCCGGCCAGTTTATCATGGGAGGCTTCCTGCACATGAAGTTGAAGAAGTGGCAGAGGGCGATGATCACGAGAAGCTGCGCCATCATCCCAACGCTAATCGTCGCGCTTGCTTTCGACAGGTCCGAGGGTTCACTCGACATCCTAAATGAGTGGCTCAATATTCTTCAGTCAATCCAGATCCCCTTTGCTCTCATTCCCCTTCTCTATCTTGTTTCCAACAAAGAAGTCATGGGTGTTTTCACAATTGGCCCCGTTCTTAAGGTACATTCTACATCTTAATAATTACCGAGATTATAAATTTGACTCTTAGCTGTAACTGATCTATGTGAGTTTACGGATCACTTTGAAAAGAAAATTATAGGGTTTTGTAACGTTTGTTTTGTGTGCAGGGAATCTCATGGCTTGTGGGTACCTTGGTGATTGTGATAAATGGATATCTATTAGTTAATTTTTTCTCAAAAGAAGTTAGTGGACCTGCGATTATATCTATTGTAGTGGTGTTTACAACTGCATATGTTGCATTCGTAGCATACCTCATTCTAAGGGGCATACCCTATTTAAAGTGGTTTAGGGAGTGATTGATTGCTCAATGGATTTTTATGTAGAGTTGCAGGGAATTAATAAATTATATTTTCAATATATATTTGTGAGTGTTGAAAATTATAACTCAAATTATTTTTATTTTTATTTTTATTTTTGAACTTTTTATGTGTTAAAATGAGATGTAATGATTTTAATGGTGTTTGGTTTTGCAATCTTTGGATTGGTCGCGGACCAGCCAACACTACTGGTCACATAAATGACCAAGTAATAATAGTGCAAAGAAAACTTAGAGCAATGAAAATTAAAATTAAAAAAAGGACCTTGAGCTCTTGAAAATTTGGAACCCTATAAAAAAAATACAATTACATTCTAAATATGAAGTGGTACAAACAAGGGTCCTAAAATTTTTCAAATCTAGTCAATTCAAACTCTTTTATGAGCCGGTCATTTCTCTCACTCCATCGTTTTAACCTTTAATCCCGACCAATCGACCACTCTAGGGCTGATTGCTTGAGCACCACTACCCAACCTAACAACCCTAATATGATGAATCATTAGACATTGTCTCGATCTAATTACACATCAAAGAAACATGAAAACTCAATGACTTTAAAGTTATAATAATAAAAGATTCAAACCATATAAGTATTTATCAGGACTATGTGGTCCAATGGTACCCGGGTTGGACTTCCATTTGGAAGGTTGTGAGTTCGAGCCTCAGTGGAGGTATTATTAGCTCTTTGTGTTTCAGTAGGTTGAGAAAGTATATGAACAGATACTACAATGTAATAGAGCTAGTAGCATTCCAAAAAAAAAAAAAACCATATAAGTATTTGATGAAGATTCAAGGGCACTTAGGTTTGCCCTTGGAGTTAACCATGTCCCGGTAACAAGGGCACTCCGACTTGTTGGCGTAGGTTCCTGAAGGAACGCAGTTGCATTTGTTGCAGCAAAGCCCGCAGAAGTTGAGGCAGCGTTTCATCACTCCAGCTTTTGCGCATCTTGTTGCACATCTCCCGTCACAAGATCCTTAACACCCATCATCAAAAACATATATGCCATTCACATTCACATTCACATTCACATTCACGACAACAATGTAATATATAGTCCCATGTTTGATTCATAAACATGGTTTTATCCTAAGAGATCAGAGATAATATGGCAAAGAAGTGGTTAATTACCTGGATCAGCATCAGCTGAGGTTGGCTGGAGGAAGGAAGAGCTGAGAATGAGGGAAACAATGAGCAGTGTAGCAAAAGCAAGCTTCATTTCAACCAAAATATGAAGTTTCTTTTGCCAAGTCTTTGCTTTCATGACCTAGTAGACTCACTAAACGAGAATATTTATAATGCTATTATGCACACCTATAACATGATGCATATATATATATATATATATATATATATATATATAAGTTCCTACGGGTGAATGTTCCCGTGAGGTTGTGCAATTTTAAGGTGCGTGAGTTTTGTACTTAAAGATGTGAGTCTTGTGCTTAGGGTGCATGAGTTTGTGCTTAATGTGAGTTGTTGTTGAAACTTAAGTGCGTGAGTTTTGTGAGTTTTGTGCTTAAGTGCTTAATGTGAGTTGTTGAAACTTAAGTGCTTGAGTTTTGTGCTTAAGGTGCGTGGGTTTTGTGCTTAATGTGAGCAGTTGTTGAAACTTAAATTGTAATTTGTGCTTAAGGTGTGTGAGTTTTGTGCGTAAGGTGCGTGAGGTTTGTGCTTAAGGTGTGTAGATTTGTGCTCTTAACGTGTTTTGTTTGTATGCTTAATGTGCGTCCACCCGCACAACCGCACAGGAAGCTCTCACCGCTCCTGATACATCGAGGATAGCTCAAGTGATCGACCAATCAATGTTTAATTTTACTTCCAACGGCAAGGTAGAGTTTGAATCCCAGTGGAAACTTGAGGAGTCATTGAAAACGTTAATCTATCAGTGGTGGTAAAGACCTCTTGTACAAACAATTGGGAACCTAAAATTATTTAGACAACTCGAAATTTACCTCTTAATGGGCTTTGGAACAGGTTCATATGTATAATTTGACAAAACTGAAAAACTTATGTTAAAAAAAAAAAACATTATTGTATTATTTCGCAATGAGTAGGGAGCATGTGCCATGTTTACCACTTACAAGAAACCAACAAATGCATGAAAGGAAAAGGTTTGGTTTTGGGGGAGTAGGTTATTCTTTATCCATTTTTAAGAATGTGTTGGGGTCAACTTCTCATTTTTCCCATTCTCAGATCAGAAGAGAGAATCTTGGAATATTGAAAGAAAAAGTGTTTGCTGCAGACTGTAAGCTATCTGGTATGGCCCGTGGAGACCACTAGATGTTGATAGTTCTTTAGGACTCAAACTTTCCACCAATCCATTGGCTTTCCTATCTGTCATCCCTTAATTGGATCTGCTTCATTTTTTCTTTCTACACAAATTAATTGTTTTCTAGCAAGATTCCACCAAATTGACCTGTGAAATAACAGACATTAATCATTAACATCTATGTAGCATAAGATACTAGGTTGATGACACTTAGTATGTATAAATCACTTCATCGTACCTTGATGATATCCCGCTTTGAGTTGGGGTGAGGATACGCTGCCAAGACCGCCATATGAAAATCCTAAACCATGGGAAGATCGATGCACATTTATCACATCTCATCTCACAAGAAACTAACACAAAGTTTCATATAATCGCGTTGAGTTTTGTTGTATTAATATGTGAATAATGCGCAATAAACAATAAAGAATGCAAACGAGATTATATACAATTAGCTTCAGTTCTTCGAGTAGGGAAGCTTACTCTAAAAGGATCACTTCGAAGTGACTGCACCAGTATTGACCCTCCAAACTCATTATCCTGAAAAGCGAGATTGGCTTATTTGTGTCTATCGTCTGGTGTTGACAAATGGCGAAAAAAAAGAAGAAAATTTTGGTTAAAAGAAAGATGGTAAGTGCTCTGATTGTAGTCTACCTTGAGATACAAGTCCTTCAACCGTTTCCCAGTTTGAGCACAGCAAATCCGCACAACTGATTCATCACAGCTTCCGCTAATGATATAGTCCCTTCCATTCATGTAATACGAACGCGTGTAATTATGAGCGCTACCCGTTGAAGTTATACCAAAATCCATATGAATCCTTCCATCGACTGCCAGGATTTGTTTCACCTGAAAACATTTGAAGTTAGCCTAAAATCTTAGCTTGTTCCAACGGTGAAATAATTTAATGTCGAGTACCTCGTTGTCTATAGCTGACACAAGAAGATAAAGATCATCGGGAGAAAAGCAGACCATCACATTCCCTCTCGAGCTCGAAGCAGTATAGCAAGGGCGAATAGGTTGCTGCCTCAAGTCCCACATTTTGACGTGATGGTCAAATGACGATGTGACCAACATATTAGGGGAATGATTTGCGAATTTAGCAACATTGATGGGTTCACTATGCATATCGCTAAAAGTATGTAAGCGTCTGCCACTACAAATATCAAAGATAGCAACTTTCTTTGTATAACCACTCGTGAGGAATCTATCATCGGTTGAATTGACATGAACCGAAGTCAAATGTTCAAACTTCTCGAAAGTTACCGGGCCAGAGCTACAATAGATACCTTCTGCTTCTGCCATCACGTGATTGATGTCATACAATCTCAGAGAACCATTATCGCAACCAACAAGTAGCTGATTTTTCGAAATGAAAACAAAATCATCATTAACCGGTATTAGAATTTGTATATATAGCCATCAATATAATGTCACTACGGGAAATTATGGAATTTCTGACCACCTGAAAGTGATCTTAAATCAAATCGAAAGTCTTGTTCCGACCACTTTTGGTATCCAGAAAAACCTACTTGATTTAAGATTACTTTCAGGTGGTCGGAAATTCCATAATTTCCAATAGTGTGTAAAGCAGATAGGAAATTGTAGTTCATGTTTTTCTTGAAGAAATGAAGTACCTTAGACGGATGCTTGTTGAGCCAACAAAGCCCCAAAACGCTGCTACTCATTCCAAAAGGTGGAATATACGTAAAAACGTTTCCCTTCTCATGGTTTACGATGATCACTTCCCCATCTAAAGTCCCACAAGACATCAGACCAGGATCAGACGGGTGGTACTCAAACTGTCTCGGTTGAGGGACTTTTCTGCCTTTGTTAATAAAATCACTTACACGAGACATGAGATGCACGGAAGGACACGATGAAGCCCCGAATTTGGCAGCACAAAGAGACCTGGAATAGGAAATTTGGCTTTTTCCAAAATAAGCGGATCGCTTTACCCTTGAAGGAGTGTTCTTTGTTCTGGTTTCACGCATGTGCAAAATACTTAAAACACTCTCCTTGAACTTGCGTTTGCATGGTAGATATTCGAAATGATTCGAGTAAACAGTTTTGGCCACTTCTCTGTCGTTTTTCTGTACGGGCAAATTATCCAGCACTTCTAGACGAGGCAATAATACAATCATGTACTCCCTGTAGTGTTTCTCGAAGCAGATGGGCGATGGATGATGAGAAGCATACATCTTAGAAAAAAACGACTCATTTCTCTCTTTAATATGCAAATCACTAAGTGAGATCTGATACAGATATGAAAAACGTATCAACATAACAGAAGAACAAGTAAAATAATTTAACCCGAATCAAAATAAAGGCGCCCGACCTCAGGTTCCAATGCCATAATCGCTTCAATATGAACAAGATCTCTATCCCCCGACTGAACGGATGACTGCTTAGGTAAACTTAGACACTCAGAAATAGGCAACAGATTGCCAGTAGAAAGTGGGTGCCCCGGTCCATCTGCAGAAACATCTTAGACATAACTTCGATGCATCATAAAAACTATTGGATAGTTATCTAAGTCTGTTTAATTGACCTGATTAAGATTCTTGCACAGAAAAAGATTTGTTGCCTTACTGGATGGTGCAAGACATATTCCAGTGTCTTCGCAACCTACACAATTTTGAAACCGAAGTTCTATCAAAGAAGGAAGTCTCAACAAGGCAGCGGTGGTTGTCCAAAGATCAGCGATTCTCGTTCCACACATTGAAAGGCGCATTAGTTTTGGCAGGCAAGCAAAGCAATCATTCTCTAAGCCAGTAAGTGAAGAACAGAAGTCCAGATTAAGCGTGTGCAATTGTGCAAAACTCCCAGCCATGTTGAGCTTCCGAATCTCGGTGAATCTCAGTTTCAGCAATTGGCAATTTAAACCACCTCGGAAAATATCCCTGAAGAGTTGTCAAATAGCTGATATGATAAGTACCATGAAAAACAATATCATTGAGCGAGATAATCTAAGATTAACACTGACACATACCGGGCAATATCCTCTTTCAATAGTATATCCTGGAGATTGGCAGTCCGTAGTTTTGAACCAACCACATGCATTAAGGCCAAGACTAACTCTTGGTTCAAGACACGGGGCAATCTACAAAGAATATCCACAGCATCAATGTCAAAAGAGTGCACTTCTTGGAAGAAATCAACAAGGGGAGATAAGTCATCGTCTTTGAGATCATTGAGTGAAAGCACTATGGTGCACTCCTGGTGTGTTCTTTTCTGCTCCATGGACTGAACAACAACAGAAAAGTTTTAACCTCTGATATTAAACCATCTAAAAGCTGAATCCTTCTACACTCCTCACTGCATTTTTATGTAGAAACAAGAAAGTTTATATGATCGTAACCCCAGTCAGATGACAAGAGATTCACACTTGTAACCACAGATCACGAGTTCGAATTCTTGCCCCTTTGGTTTGAGCCGATCAGCTATGGGTAACCTGGGCTGGTTTACTTCCTTGTGGTCCTTTTTTGACTAGGGTCACAAGACGGGTTTACCTACGCCCGACAGAAAGGGTTGTGGGATTCCCTCATCATCCAAAAAAAAAAAAAGTTTATCTGATAAATAACCAAATTTAAGACCCAATTATTGACAAGATTGACAAGCTCCAAGAACATTATTGAATTACAAATAAAACCCAATTCAAAAATATCATGAAATTCTAACTCATTTTTAGGGTAATAAGTAATCACCTTATATAGCCCTGAGAGGACAGCAGGATTGGTTGACACACCATGCCTCTTGCAAGAATCCATATACCTAGCAAAAATTTCACAGAACAACCAGTTATTACACAAATAGAATCACTTCCCAAATTTGGTCTTTGAATTCAAGCAAAAAAGATACTCCGTAACAAAGAAAAATCAAGGAAAATTAAAGCTCCCATCTTTAAGCAAGCATAATAACAAATAATAAGCTCAATCAGAGAGTGCCAAAAATACAAACTATACCCATTGTTGTACTTTTAAGAGAATTGAAGAAGGGTGTAAAGAGAATATACCTGGCCAGTAAGGTAGAGATGCAAAGAGACATAGCTGTTAGTCTCTTGAGAAGGGAAAATGAGCAGAACCGGAGAGAGAGAAGATAGAGAAAAAAGAAAAGAATGGGATAATAAGCCGAGTCACATACTACAAGATAGACAAAAAACAGAAATAAGATGGAAAGATAAGCAGAGTCAACTACTACAGAGAGTCTGCACGTATCAGTAACAGTCGAGTGAAAGCAGGTAAGATTTAAACCCGTTTTGGGTGATAAAGAAACTCGTTAAGATGTCTATAATTGATTGGTTCAAATCAAGAAGATCAATAACCATTGAGAGTTGAAACTTACAACTTTATTGGGCAAATACTTTACAATATACAAAATGTTGTCTTGGATGTTGTAGATAAGACACTACAGCTGGAATGGTGGGAAGTAACAGTGGGTGATGGAAACTTGCCTGCCTTTCTATTACATATTAGGGCCATCCGGTAACAGAGACCACAATTGCCAAATCGTATGAAGATTCGCAGCCACCGCTAGTTGTGTTTTTATGTGGCGGTCCCGTCACCGCCCCGGCCTGCTATTTATCTTTGGGTATGATTGTGATGTCCCTCTAAGCTCAAAAGGAGAAGGAAGGGTGGGTAAACTGTGATTATGGGGTTTGTTGACTTTGTTCATACCCAACTTTTTCCTTTATCAATGATTAGAGTACTTAACATTCATTCTCAATAAGAATTGAGTTATCCTTATTTAAGCATTGCTGTTAATGATTGCACTAGTCTGATTAACCCTATTAATTTGTGTTCTCTTAGATTAAGAGAGTAAAATCTTCCCATTATTTATGTCTCGGTGAATTTGCATCACAAGAATCTTGTTTAATGTTGAGCTTTCATCTCTGCCGATCATTGTTGGGGTCTACTACCAACATGTCGTTAACATACAATAACAAAATGATAAACTGGTTATCATCAAATCTCTTGCAATATACACAAGGATCTAAGTTAAATCTATTGTATTCAGGACCCAAAATGAATGAATCAAATCTCGTATACTAAGGGTATCTCAGATATTGCATTATGTTATGGATGATCAGACTTTATTAATAAAGGCTATGTTGATTCAAATTATGCAGGTAATTTGATTGTAGTAAATTCATCACGGGATGTGTGTTTACTCTTGCTAGGAGAGCAGTAAGCTGGGTCTCGAAGTTGCAGTTAGTTGTGACAACTTCAACGACAGAAGCAAAATATATAGTTGCTACTCAAGCTCGTAAAGATGCAATTTGGTTGCAAATGCTATTGGAGGAGTTCGGACATAAGTTAGAGAAAATGACTATATTTTATGAAGAACTTTGTATTTGACAAAAAAATCCAGCATTTCATTCCAAGACGAACACATACGAGTTCAATATCACTTTGTTCGTGAAAATATGGAAGAAGAAAGTGTGGGTATACAGAAAATCCATACTAAATATAACTTGGCAGATATATTAACAAAATCTATTACCAACAATAAACTTGTATGGTGTAGAGCCTCAGTTGGCCTAATATGTATGCAAGCAACATGGAATTGACAAAAATGATGAAGATCTACATTGTGACTTTAAGTGGAGGTTTTGTGAAGAATAAAGTCAAATGTAAAAAGTAGCTAAGGTTTGAGTTAAGTTTGCATTAAAGAATTGTGTAAGGAGTATATTTGCATTAAATAAGTTAGGTTGTATTAAATGTTTGCAAGAATTCTAAATCTTTAGACACACAATTCTATACATACAAATCTAAGGCTAATATTCACTTGGGTTTGCTATAAATAGGCAATCCCTCCCTATTGTATCACACCCATTAGATAGCAAAGCTTAGTATAGCAAACTAGCAAGTATCCTTAGAGAGGTATTGTAATATCCTTTTGTTAATACATAATTTTTTATTTTCAAAATTGCATTATTGTGTGTATGATTTATTCTAAATCTTACACTAGAAATATTCTCAATTATTTTCAATCCAAATTGCTATTGTAATTAAGTTTTTTGAACTCATATCGATCTTACAGAAAATTTAATTTTAAATAATATATCAAAATTAAAAACAAACATCCAGCAAACTAAAAAGGAAAAATGACACTTTTTCAGGAAAAATGACACTTTTTCTCCCTGTATTGTTTACTTAGCATATTTTCCCCCTGTGTTGTTTATGTAACCATTTTATCCCCTCAATTGTTTTTGAAGTGGCTATTTTCCCCTTATCCGTTAAATAAGTGTTAGGGCTCTTAAATAAGAGGGTAAAAATGACATTTTACTTATTATTATTATTATTATTATTATTATTTGAAGTGGCTATTTTCCCCCTCATACTGCCCCCATTGTTGCCCAGTAATTGCCCTTTCTTTATCGCTTCATGTGTTCATAATGTGTTGGAGTTTTGAGGATTTTCTTGATGCAACAACGAACAAGTTTGAGTTCTTTTTATGATTTTTGGTTTGGGTTTTTGCAGGGAATGAAGAGCAAAAGTCTTTGGCGCCTCTCATAGCAAACAATATTGAACTATCCAATCTGCAAACAACAAACAAGAATGAATTATGAAACACATACTAAAAGGACAATGAAGAGTGACCTAGAGTGAAAAAGAACAGCAAATTCATGGATTCAAAAAATGCCCAAATGATGAATTAACCACCCCATCAAACAGCAAGCAAGATTGAACTATCCAAGCATTGTGGATGAATACACAATCAAATAATATCAAACAAATGCACAGAAACAGGAAAAAAAAATAGCCACTTCAAATAATAATAATAATAATAATAATAATAATAATAATAATAATAATAATAATAATAAGTAAAATGTCATTTTTACCCTCATATTTAACCGCCCTAACACTTATTTAACGGAGAGGGAAAAATAGCCACCTCAAAAATAATTGAGGGGATAAAATGGTTACATAAACAACACAGGGAAAAATATGCTATAAATAAACAACACAAGAGGAAAAAGTGTCATTTTCCCAACTAAAAATTAACCTTTAAAAATGAATATTTAATGTATTGAAAATGAACATTTAGTATACTAAAAATAACTTTCAAATAGTCTAAGTAAAACCACATCAATAGAAATGATTAAATGAACATTCAATGTACTATATGTTAGACTAAAATATCACATGCATCACTATAATATGTGATAATAGGATCGACTAACTTCCCGCCATAGTTCTTGATACGGTTGAGCGATCTGGACTGCTGCAGAGATAACGAGTATTTTGTCTCTCACTTTACTCAGCTCTCTCTAGATGGTGTATGAGGTATGTAGTGAGAGGACTAGTGACCTTATATAACCACTGGCCATCATTGTGGTTGATTGTCTTTAGGTCTCCTAAACCCTAACTAGACTCCTAATCATAATGATAGTCTGGCTATTAGGTTATTAGTATTGCATCACATATCAAATACTGAATATTATCATAACTTATCCTAATGTTATAATAATAGTAACGGATAAACGTTACACTATATACTAAAAATGAAATTCCCAAGTAAAAGTATATCAATATAAATGTTTCCAACAACCTCTATTAAAGATGTTAGATTGGCTACATGTTACTAGGTTACACTCCAAGTCATCAGGAAAGGATTCTTCTTCACCAATTAATAAATAGCTATAAACTTCTTAATATAACTAAAATTTTCTACAAATCTCGTTTTATAATGGTTTTTAATCATTTTTATCAATGAATTAATAAGATAAGGGAGTGGTGGAGTGGTAGCGAGTGTTTCCTGATGTGAAGTGTTTAAATGTTTATGTAAGCATGCTTACTTGTAAAAATAGTTAATTTTAAATAATATCTAAATTGACCCAATTCAATTCGGAAATGGACCCCACATATATATTGTACAACAAAATAACTACTTACCATGTCATTTATGTTATTTTTTCAAAAGTGCTCATTGTTCTTCATTTGTTGCTCCAATCCTTCTCACACACTAAATCCCAAAATGCTTCACTTTCTTACTTGTTGTGAGTGATTGTGCCTAAGAACATAAATCACACAAATAAGTCTCAATTCACAAATGATTCGAGGCACTTTGCAGAAAATGGGTAATAGTATGCGATAAAATATAGTAAACATAAGTGTTATCATATTACGCTAAAAGCTATAGCTCACAACGAAGACGTAACTTTATTTTATTATACTGTCACATTTTCGAAAGGATGGTGTTGGACTTGACTCTTCACCGGTCTTTTCCCAACAATCCACCATAACCACTAATTACTGGACTTAACCTTTCATCAACCTCCGCACAACAATCATAATTCTCATACTTGAAAGTCATCCACCCTCACGTACCGACAAAAACAAGCTTAACAAATGGAGGCTTATGTCTCAAGGCTTCTTCAACAACTCTTATACCACTTTATTAGGTAAAAAAAGAAGTTGCAACTCTTTTTCCTTTGGTTCTTTTTGCTGGTTGTTATTATTACTATACTAACATTTATATTGTGTGGCTGATCTTTATTACATGAGTTGTAACACAATAAAAACATCCATCCGCAGCACTAAAGTGCAAGAGCAAATGTATATTTATTTGTGGGTCATACTTTCATCTTACAATGTACTAATAGAAGCTAACTTTATTACCATGTTAAACTCCTTTGCCATTCTTTTACTTGACTTCAAATGTTGAGTTATTTCAACATTACTCTATTGGTTGAAAATGTGGTCGGAAAATAAAGAATATGAAGAAAGATAGGTTGTGTATCAATTCAAAACAAGTTAGGTTGATGGTTTTGATTTCTTGAAATGTTAATGAAGAGTTTAATGATTTTAAATTTTAAATTATAGTATTCTCTATATTCTCACAGAGAACCAATAACGCCTCCACTGAGGCTCGAACCCATAATCTTTCAAATGGAAGTCCAACCCGGATACCATTGGACCACATAGTCTATGAACAGATACTACAATGTAATAGAACCAGTAGCATTCAAAAAAAAAAAAAAAAAAAATATTCTCACATATTTTAAGTGGCTAGGAACCAAAATTACCATCCTATAAAAAAAACTAAGGCGTCAATAATGCTTAGAACAATCATTATATAATTAAAATTACCATTTATAGCTAGTAAGAGGTGAGCGATGGGTGGATGAAGGCATGAAGCATGATTTATGTACCAAAAACTCGCAGATATAATTGTTTTTGTCCATACCATCTCAGTTAAGTAAATTAAATAAGTTTTTTCTAATGTGATTTGCATACTATTCGCTTTCAAAGAAGTGGCTGAGGTTTAGCTTGTTATCCAAAAAAATCACCATATCCTATAAATATCAACGAAAAGAAATGTTATATGTTTCCCCATCATTATTTTTCTTGCTCTCTAATTCTTTAGTTTCAGACATTTGAATATTATCTTACTATGATCTTGGGCTTTGGCTGTTAGGACTAGTACTAATCTCCATGTCCCAAACCCTAACTAAATACACAACTCGTATTGGGCCTAAGCCCACACTTTCCGACATTAATATCAAATTGTTAATCACACTCAATCCTATGCAGCAAAAAGTAAAAGGTTTGTATTCTCCTAATGATATGCGACGCTTTGCCGCATTCACAAGCACACAAATGAAAACAGAAACAATGAGAAAACGACTCGGAAACAAAGCTAAATTGACAGTGTTGATATTTCATAAATAAACAAATATATATAACATTAAATGGTTTATATATAAGAGAAGTGAGTCCAAAACGCGTCAAATACAAACAGAACGAACACAAAAGTAGTCTCCTCTCCAGTCTCCACCTAATAATGCTATACCAAAAGAATATAGAAAATGCATGCCAATGTGGCCATAAACCGGATCCAAATCATATTCCAGCAGAATACAACAAATCAAATTCTCTAAATCAGATCCAGACCGTGGAACAAAATACGACGTCGTCCCCTCCTCTCTAGAACAACATCCAGCTAAATACCGCCCATCCCATTACCAAGCTTCCCACCATGCTCATCAACTTCTCCGCCCCGCTCTGCACATTTTTCATCAAACGTTACTACAAATTCATCAATTAAATACAACAATACAAATGTAATTTAAGGAAAAATGTTCGGTTTTTTTCGGCAATTTAATGTTCCGTGCCGGAGTAGGTGTACGTTAAGGCTACTAGGCTAACGTTAAGGCTACTACTCCAACAAGAAGGAACAGTGCCTCGTGTTTAACACCTGGAATGAGTGTGGTGTAGCTAAATCTCTGCAAATGGATCTATGATGCGCCTTTTAAGAGAAAGACAAATCACATCAAGCCAAGGCTGCTATCGTGCGCCGTGCGCGCATGTGGCGACAACACCGACATCAACTTTACCGGGACAGGGGGCCGGTCGGGAAATAATATGTACTCCGTATATATTTTATATTAATATATAAAACTGTTTAGTTTAAATGCTTATATAATCACATCATGTTAAGTTTTAACAGAAGAATCAATGAACAGTGAGTGTAGTTATGTCGGTGTTTGAACAGTTAAGTTAATGGAGTGTGGTTTAAGGATGCAGATCTGAGTAGATTAGTGAAGTGTACTTGCGATGGAAGTTCGGAAGAGACTAGGAAAGTTAATGTAGTTAAGGAAACTAGCGGAAAACTAGACGATGATGTTAGATCTGGAGTATATTGAGTAGAATGGGGATAGTATGTACCTCATCGCTGAGTGCCGGACCGGGGGAGATACTGTCGGCGTTAGGTCCGGGGGCTTCGCTAGGAGGCGCAGGTGGGCCTTGAAGCTCGGGAGAAGGAGCCGGTGAAGATGCGGTGTGCTTCTTACTCTTCTTCTTGCCTTTGCCCTTGCTCTTGCTCGGAGCCGGAGCAGGAGTCTCTGATGATGTAGGCGGGGCGACGGGGGCCGCGGCGGGAGGGGAAGAGGCAGCAGGTGGAGTGGCGGCCTCCGGCGCGGGAGACGGTGGAGATTGGACAGGCGCGGCTGCGGGTGGGGACTTCACGGGAGCGGCGGCCGGTGGAGAGCTCACTGGCACGGGAGCCGGGGGTGCAGATTCCGGCGTCTTAGCTGGCGGCGCGGCAGCTGGAGCCGTGACTGCGGCTGAGGGTGGAGTAGAGGCCGGAGCCTGCGCCGGAGGAGCCGAAGCGGGAGCGGGAGTTTTAGGCTTTGAAGGAGCGGCAGCTGTGGAAGGCGAAGCAGCCGGAGAAGTGGCGGCGGCCTTAGACGCAGCCGGAGCTTTGGCAGGCGAAGCGGCCGGAGACTGACCTCCGACGCCGGCCACTACAATGCACATAAGCACCACCGCAAACCCAACCTTCCGATCCATCGCTTCAACACAGAAAAACAAAACAGAAAACTTCTATTGCAAAAAACAACAGAAGAGAATGGCGTAATGGTATGGGGAAACGGAGTGGTGTAGGGGCATATAAGTAGGCAAGGTTTTAACATTAAAAAAATAATGGGCGTAACGGCTATAGGAGAGTCGACGTTTAGGTGGGGCCAATGTGGTGATAAAACAGACTGGACTGGGCCCACATCGCATGTGACAGGGTTTTGGTTCGCCACGTCACCGGAGGAGTGGTTGTCTCCGGCGTATGTAGCCTTAGCCTATTTCCTTGATGGACTTTCCGTTTGGTGGCTTCGAAGAAGATCAAGTCTTACAGCTGGAAAACGTTGTGCATGGGACCGCACCACCAACGGAATACTATTTCAGCTATAGCCATGAGTTACATCCACTTAATCCTCTCAAATATCTTTTCATTTCAAGCTTTTGCAATCAGCGGTTAGCCATTAGCGGATTCTATTACCGAACATAGATAGCAAACTATATTAACAGATTTGAACAACAGATTGTATTAGCAGTTTATAAAAATAATATTTAAATAAAATTAACTATTTAAATTAGTTAAGATATAAAATGATCTATAACAATTGATGGGAATTATACCCTACCCATACGGTGGTTTACGGTTGGGTAGGACCGCGTGAACTACGCTCGGTTAGTTGTCCTGCCTGGTGAGCAGCACGCTCCCTCCTCTACCCGGTCAAAGGGTTTACGCGCTCAACAGTCGACCAAGGTAAGACCGATAACCGGGAGAGAAGACTGGGCATCTCCACGTCTCGACTCGACCAAGTTGGGGACACAGCCATCGTCAGAGGCCGACTGCCACGTGTTCGGCTGCATGTCTGCCCTCGTGAGGCCCAGTGCATGGATGCCACGTGCCTGTCATACCGGAAGACCGGACGCTGCTCTCTAGGCCCTCTATAAATATTTCATTTATTACCTTAGATAGTACTTTTCACCTATTAGACACATTGTAATTAAGAGGTTTCTGATTCGGTCAACATGCTATTCTACTATACAAAACTACGGTGATTTAATCTACATCAACAATAATAATAATATAACTATCAACTTTTAATTCAATTTAATTTATGGTATCACGGGGCAATAGAACTTGAGGGGTAAGTAAGCTTAGTAAAGTTGAAGATAAGGGAAGGCTTGGAATTGTGTTGGGTCCCATGAAAGAAAAAAACAATTGTAGACATAATTAAGATTTAATCAAGGTATAAATAATTATTAAAGTTCATGTATCTGTGGGTGGGCCCCGTGCTTATTTTGTGAGGAGTAAAATAATGTTAGATCATATTGTCGGTGTGTATCCAATCCGACGGTGTCACGGAGCCTCCAATTATGTTGCTTGGGAGTTAGGGTCCCATATATTCTTATTCTTGGTGACTATGGTGAGTAAAATGTTGGAGAGCCCAAACTAAGCTTTTACGGTGTTGCATTTACTAAATTGGTTGAAAGAGATAATGTGTCCTTATATTGTAATAATCGTTTAATGAGAATACAAAGTTTGTTCTAAGAATACCATTTATCCTAAATAAGACAAATGGCTCGATTTTATACCTAATTTCAAGACAAATTGCACGTGTAATTTAAGTATCGCACTTTTAAGACGGGTGGTTAGAACCTCATTATTGTTCACTAGTCAGACTAAGTTGACCTCATGGTCAACCTTGTTCAACTTTATCCGTCTTTTTTCTGAGTTGGGTTGCTTCATAACTTGGGTCCATGCTTAATATATCCATTAATTACTTATGTAGAAATAATTAACATATGATATCTTTGTCATATTTTACCTGTCTTGTTTAATATTTATTGGTCAAACAAACTCTTTCTTCTTTGTTTATTTTCTTAAACATTTTTAAATTTATTTTTACGTGTTTAATAATATTTTTAATGTAGTTTTTAAATATATGAATTTTATATACTAATATTAAATTTAATATTATAAAAATTTTGAATTAAAAATAACTTCAGTCAATTCTCATTAATCGAATCAGACATATAAAATAGGACGGAGGAAGTACAAAGTAATACAATTTGTACAAATACACATTCAATTCAATTGTAATTTAATTTGTTTGATTTTCTTTACTCTTGATATTTTTACTCTTGATATCTTACTTTAACTAATGTGTTTTGAATATTTATAGATGTTGATAGGACATACGGAGTCGGAACACATATAGTGTTCCCCGATCTAATTTCACTTTGATAGTGCACCTCCCGACCAACCAAAGTAAGAAATTGGTCTCACATTGGCAAACCAATGACCCACGAAGGGTCCTCTTAGCTGTCCCATCAGTTCGAGTTAACTTATTGTGGATATGTAGCGTGCGACCTGATAGAACTATGGATAAATGCCACGTACCTCCACCCAGGGAAACTTTGGCATGTGCGCCCTTACACAACACTATAAAAGTCGGGTAACTCTTCATAAAAAAAAAATGAAGCAATACTTTCTTAATACTATCTAACCTCTTGAAAATTGTTTGATATGAACACGCACTCCATCAAATACTTGTGTATTGAAAACTCTATACTCAATGAATACAATCTTTTGACTTGCTTTATAACTTTGGGCATGTGTTATATATCTAAATCATACTATAGAATCCTACTAAGTACTAAGTGTTCTAATTTGAGAGAAAAAAAATGTCATTTTAGTTTTCTAATTAGATTCAAATTGTAGATTTGATCATTGAATTATTACTACATTCACTTTTCTCTTTTTAATTAGCTCCAAAGTGATGATTTTACCACTACCATATATATATATATATATATATATATATATATATATATATATATCCTATCTCTCTCTCTAATGCATTACCTCATGTATTATAAATATGTGAAAAGTATTAGCATTTCTTTCTCTAACCGTAAATATTGTAAATCGTAAACGCCAAAAGCTATAGCTAGTAGTGAAGGAGCCAAGCCACCGTGTACTAGACATGGCCACCATTGCTGGGAATCAAACTCATGATCTGGCTTTGATATCACTTGTTAATATCAAGTGCTCACCACTCACGTCAAAAGCTATAGTTAGTAGCGAACGTGCAACTTATTTCCGTACTTATTGACCACCATCACATTGTTCGAGACAAGCTGGGTGTTGGACTTGGCCCTTAGGGACTTTACTGACCTCCTCCCAACAATCTTCCGACTACCGGATATTAGACATGATCCCTTTACCAACCCTACCTAACAATTAGATAGATGTTACAAATTATCTAAAAAAGATAAATTATACAATGAAAATTTTGTGTGACAAGCTCGATCCAGAGGTAAACAAACACCTTTTAATGCATATCAACCCAAACCGAGACATAGGTACACCATCATAATTACCAAAACCTGAAGAAGGAAAAGAGAGACCAAAAGACAAATGAAGCAAGTATATAGTAATTATAGCACATGCAGTTTTATTATTGTTGCAGCCGTTATGGAGTATTTTAATTTTGAACAACAGCTGCAGTCTTCTGTCAATTATTAAAATACAGCACCAAATTAGCCAGATCTCAATATATGGACTATGGTCCCCACTTTCCCCACATCTTTCCTCTTTTATTTTGTTATAATTTATTTTTGTTTTTATCTAAACATGATGATTATGACATTATACATATAGAAAAAAATGTTCAAATTAATTATCAAATTGCATGCAAAAAAGTAATTGTACCATCTAACTCAAAATAAATGTAATTAAGTTACTCAACTATCTAAAATTATATAATTTGACAAATTTTGCCATGTTCCTCATAACATCTGGTTTATAATTTTTTAGTGAATTATAATTTTTAAAAGTTCATTTTAATATATTATCAAAAAAATTAAATTATAATAACTAAAATGAAGATTTAATATATTAAGAAATGTTACTAGTATTTCATATTGCAATATAGATGATGATGTCACAACTCACAATATAATTTGCCATAAGAAGGACTATGGTCAACACAATGCTATGAGAACGGTAAAAAAAAATATTTTTAATATTTTAAAACTACATTATTTGTGTATTGAATTTACATTATACAAAATAATATATTTTTCCTTAATATAAGGTATATTTTTTATATACTAAAAGTATACTCCGTACTATTTTTGTATTTTGTCAGAAAATTCGCCGGAAGGTAGCCTAAACCCGAATGACATGTGATAGCAGGTCATTAACTTGTTTTTGGGCTTCATTGCACCTAAATGAATTGTTGATGGGTGTAATTGAACCTTTAAAAAGTTTAGGGGCCTAATTGACTTTTAAGCTAAAGTTCGAGGGCCTATTTGACCATTTTTCCTTTAATATATATTATTTGATAGTATACAAAATAATACTCTTTCAAATAATGTAATTTTTTAATATTTAGGATCCACACAACAATGCTTCTTATTATAAGAACGCAGTCGTTATATCGTGCACCAGGATGCACAACACCCTACCCAAAACAACGTCGTTTTGGTGCATTGTCCCAAAAAAAAAAATAATAATAATAATAAATCATCTGTTTCGAATACACATAAACTCATAACAGAATACACAGAAACTCATATATGAATATACATAATCTAACATAATACATAATACACAGAAACTCATAACACAATACACGAAAATTTTTAACTGAATACACATAATGAGATTTAGGTCGTTTGGACAAACAGAGTGACGTCAGCAATTGAAACGCGCGTATTTTGTGCCTGGACTGTGCGCCGTGTTGCACAATATAAATTGCCATAAGAAGGGGTGACAAGCTTTTCCTTTCACGTGTATCTTTTGGGCCCAAAACAGAGGTCCTATTATTAAAACTGTGGTTATAAAAAACGTTGGGTCTTATATTACAAAGAAACCTAAGAGGCCCAGTTGGGTGCTGACCCAATAGGCCCACTCTGGCGCTGCACAATTCTATTGAAGTCGTTAACTCCAAAACTTTCAACAGGCAAATGGGGCAAACTTTCACCGACTCGTTTCCAGTTTTCACCGTTAACTTCTAAAATAAAAAATAAAAATTTTCTGTTTCGTATGTACAGAATTATATAGTATAATACATATAAACTCCTAACATAATACACATAATCTAACATAATACCCATAAACTCAAATATTTAAAAAAAAAAATGTAACGAAATTAGATGGACGGAACAGTATTCATCGCGTCAACTCTCCACCAACTTATAAAACGTCGTCGTTTTGGGCACGATATAACGATTGGGCAAATGGACGGCTTGAAATGGATTAATAAGAAAATTGTTAGCAGACATCATCCCGCTTCAAAGAATGGCCCATGGGCCCTGCAGGCTGCAGCCCACATTGGCAAACAACAAATGTTATCCAAATATCCATACTTTTGTGACCTTTTACTTATGTTTGTTGGATCAATAGTTAATCACTAATTTCTTCTAATATTTGATATCTATAACTTTTTTCTAATACTTGTCCTCAATTCTCTTCGACAAGTATTTGATTCACTAGATTTTGCATGGGTAGTTCTGTCGCATGAGTGAAATTTGAGAACAATGATCTGGAATCGAGTCTCACTAGCGATAGTGGGGAAGTAATCGCTCAAAGTGAAGGGATACACATCTCGAGGGGCTCTTTGTACGCAGTAAGCAAAGGTCTAACATCTAGTTATCATAATTTACATCCTCTCAGATGGTCTGTCAAGCTGAATTCACTATTAAGCACACATTCTATGTTATTTATTAATGAATCATATCGCCACTTGACACCTGATTTAATTTGAAGGAGTCTAGTCTATTATTCAATCAAGTGAAAATAAATTTCTCCGTTAAAACCTCAAGGAAATTCAGAGTTAAAATATTCGAATTGAACAAACAATGAAACAATTTGTACATGCATTACACTTGATTGGATCAATCTCAGAACCCATTATCATTTTTGGATCTCTATATCATGATGAATGTGCCTAAGAATCACGGGGACCACAACATCCGGTGAGCTGAGCTGCGGCAGATGACCGTCGGTGGACATCACCTCCACGACGGACTCACAGCTAAGGTTCCGGTGAAGGTACTCCGCCACCACCACCGGCACCGCCAAATCCTTCATGCTCTGGATAATGTGACATGGCACCGTCACATGACTCAACACGTGTCGCAGGTCGCTGCGGAATATGGTTTGGAGCACGCTCAATGCTATGTCGGGTCGCATGTTGAACAATGTCCGGCTGAACTCTTGCACCGCCACGGAATCCATGTCCCCGCCGACGGCCAACGGTGCAAACCCTGAACACCATGCCTTGTAGTTTGATCGCATCGCTTCGAATAATTGCTCCAAATCTTCTAGCTCAAATCCTCCATAGTAGTCCACATCATTCAAATACCTAATTAAACGCAAACAAAAGAAAATGTGTGACCATAGGTTGCAAAACACGTTAGGCTTCGGCGCCTAGGGGCGCCCTAGGCGTCAATTTTTTTTTTAAATATAAAAAAAATTAAAAATTATCAAAATTCACTCATAAAACATAAGGTTCTCGTCGTTTTTTCTTACAAACTATTTATTTAAGTGGCTATAAAATTGTTTAAAATATTGTTGAAACCATCTAAATACATAGCAAACTAAAGTTAAGAGCAAAAGAAGGCATTTTTATGAGAAATTGGTCGCGCAAACTGCCTTTGGCTGTTTGCAGTGGGTAGATCTCGAAAAAATACGTAATTTGAAAAAAAATTTATCCAAAACGAATAACCGAGTCAAAAGTTATGCATTCCCAAAGTTTTTAACCTAAACCCTAAAAAAAAAAAAATTGCCGGTTCGGCAGATTTCAACCTTCCTCATCGTGGCCGGACGGCGCCTAGGCGCGATTTTTACAATATTGTGTATGACACTCAATAATTGTTTATATTACACATTCGTTTCACGTAATATAGTCTTGCACAATATCACTCGTTAATTAAAATTTATTTTTATTTTAAATCCAACCAATGATTGTCACGCTCAATTTATCCTAAAATTTGGAAGCATATAATAAGGTGGTAAGGGAAGTATAAAGGCAATTCCTCCATTTGTCGGTCCAAAGTGGACAATTGGACGTCGCAACATATGATAAATATAATAATTAGTGGAAGAAAAATAGAAAATAATGTATTATTAGTTAATAAAAACCAAACTAGCAATGGTTAACGTCATCAATACCTGTTAAACATAATATTGAATTTTTAATTGATGTGATATAGAAAGAGTCTATCACGGCCGTACTTTAACTAATTAATATGTTGACATGGATGTCTCCGTGTATATGGAGAAATATTTTGGTGTTTCATTCTTCTATATTTACATGTTAAAAATAATAATAAAGAGACAAATTTTGGAAAAATTAGGTCTTTTTATAATAAAACTACCCTATTTTTTGTTTCCAAAAAAAGAAAAAAATCCATTTTTTCATTTAATAAAGAGTATTAGACTTTGTCTGTCTATCTGTGTCAAGCACACCTTGTGCTCAGATGACACTCGGGTTAGACTCCTATATAGGATATTGTGTGTTCAAATCGAGTTGATGTATGGTGTTTTCAAATGTACAAGTCTCCTCTCTCTCTCTCTCTCTCTCTCTATATATATATATATATATATATATATATATATATATATATATATATATTTTGAAGAGGATATTATTTAAGTTAAAATCAAGCTCATATGGGCTGTATTTGTTTTTTTCTTTTTTACTCGAAATAATAAACAAACCAATTTAAATATAGGCCATTATAGTCTGGTTAAGTTCCTTTAAATAATTTAGAACAAATTATAAACAATTCACTAAGAGGGCAAGAGGCTAAAAGCTACGGAGTGGTAAATAAACCTACAATATTTATAAGATATTAAGATGCCTTTTGATTTTTGTTAGGGAATAATAATATTTTAATTAAGAAATAGATGGGGAAATTATTACTTTTTAAAAAATTTAAATGAATTGTATAATTGTATACCTGGGAGAGGCGGAGATGGTGACGAGTTTGGTGAAAAGGTCAGGGCGGGCGACGGAGGCGATGACGCCGATCATGGCGGAGACGGAGTGGCCGACGTAAACGCAGGAGTGGACCTGGAGCTCTTCAAGGATGGCGATGACGTCATAGGCGTAGCCTTCGAGCGTGGCGTAGCGGTCGAAGTCAAAGTAGTCGGGATTGGTGGTGCCGGCGCCCATGTTGTCGAACAGCACCACCCGGCAGCCGTCCACCAGGTGCGGAACCAAGTGCTTCCACACCGACTGGTCCGTCCCGAAGCCGTGGGCCAGCACCACCGTGCGCGGCCCCGACCCCACCACCCTCACGTTGTGTGCCTCCTCCACTATTCCCATACCGCCCGGCCTGTCTGATCTTCTTTTCCGATGATGATTGTGTCTGTCGGTCGGTGGGATGGGAATGAAGAAAAAGTGTAGAGTTTCGTAGGTTTTGGGGATGTCTTTCTTGAAAGATAGATGCCTATTGAGGAGTACGTATTCATTCATTATGATGATGATGACAATGATATATTTGGACATGGATGGGTGGTAGGGTCCACATACAGCTAGCCAAGAATGAGGTGTGATGGGTGTGGGCATACACCTAGTTGGACTAGATAAGGGAGGATAGGCGAAGTCGAGTGCAAGAGCCAAGGGACCCGTCGAGTAAGTACTGTCTAGTCGGTCAAGTGTGTGCAGGAGAGGCGGGCAAAGATATGGGTGTAGGTAGTTATGCGGGTCGACAGACAAAATAGACAGCAAGCAATTGTACGGGGCCTGTAGGCCGTCCGTAAGGCGGTCGAGGAGTGGAGCCACACAGATAGATGCCCAGGCAAAGTGCCGAGGAGGTGGGAGTCCGCTTGGGCAGAGCGGGTAGGTCAAGGAGGCAAGTGAGAGCAAGAGATAAGTGCTTAAAGGAGTCGCACCCGAACAGAATAGCTGGACGGGCAAACCAAACGAATTGGTTAGCCGGAGAGAGGGATTGGCCGACTCGGGTCAATGTTGAGCTGCTAGCCGTATCTAGGAGAAATTTGGGGTTGATCTCAAAGTAGATAGAGGGAAATCTAGAGGCCACAATGAAAGAAATCAATTGTATTTATGACAGATTAGATGTACCTAAATTAGGCCCGTTATCTCATCTCATGTATAAATAGGCAAAGAGCATCCTGAAAAGGGGTTAAGCTTTCTCACGTACACCCCGAGCAATAAAATGCATTTCTAGTAACTCTTTACTCAATTTTTTGATAGTGTTGGCCCGTCGTTTGACTACTCCGGTGTTTGATAAAACCAACAAGCTAAGTTGCATCCACATTTTTAAATTCATAGTTGATTCTAACTTTTTATATCTAGAATTTTATCCCTTTTTCACTTTTCAATTTCAAGTTCAAAATCGATTAAATCAGCTTACAAAAAATCATAATTAGGTAAACTAATATAATTAAGCTAATAAGTAAAACTCATGGAGAAAATCCCCGGGATAATTGCAATTCAATTATCACAAGAGGATAATTCTCCTTAGGCCAGCTTATGTGCCTCTCAGAACGAACAAAATTAGTTGGGTGGACCCGAACGGTTAGACGAACAGAGAAAAACACGAAACATTTCGTGATTTACACACACAAAAAAAAAAAAATTTATAATTATCAAATCAACTATTCCACGAACTTGATAAAGATCGCCCTTTAATCATCCATGATTTTGAATAATCGGACATCAAATTTGGTCGATTTTATACTCGATGTCCAAACGTGTAAAAAAAAAAAAAAAAAAAAAAAAAAGTGACCACAATGAAGTGGGCCATGCGTCTATTTCGATTGCTAACGGACGACCATTAAGACAGAGACCTTGATTGACCTCAATTCATTTTGGACTGTACAACTCATGACCCAAAACCCACGTTAGGGGTGATAGTGGAGCAAATGGTTAAATATTAGTGGCTGCTTTTTACTACAATTACATTCGACTTGACCTAATTTAATGCACACAAATTTCTTTTTTAAAAAAAAAAAAAAAAAACCATAACTTTATTAAACCAAATATTCAATACATGGTGGTAATGAAGTAATCCAACAATAAGAATCAATTTGAGAACGGACAACCCTAGATCAGTGGACACAAATTTCTTTAGTCGTTAAATATGAAAGGTTTTAATGTTTGAATAAATATATTATTCTCCAAAACATTTTCTTCGTCTTAAAGCTGTTAAAAAAGTGTCAAGTATGGTGATCAAGTGGATGAGCAACAAAATTTAAAAATCTTGTTTTCAACAATAGAGTAACTAATTTGATCTAAGATTATTAGAGTTGGGCTTCTTGTGCACATAAAGATACAGTTTGATGTTAATCTCGAAGCTAGACAGACTTGAATTAGCTCCTCATAGGTCTGGATGACGTGTTGATCCACTTACTCTTTGGTTGATTGGGGTTTGGGAGTAGTGCATGTTATAGTTGTGAAAAAAATGAATAATGATGAAATTATTGGGTAAGTACAATTAGTGATGTGGATGCATGATTATGGGCGGAATCTCTCCATAGTTAATTAGTTGTGACAGGCAATCACTATCATATATTTTAGCATTTATTTAGGAAGGAAACAGCGGACAAATCCTGTTGCGTTAAATTAATTGCCATTTGCCATTATTGTCCCTGTCAATCCACGTCATCCCATTTCCCAACTCCTTGCTGGAAATTACTTTATAATGTTGGATGGTTTTTTTTTTTTTTTTTTTTTTGAAATTATAATGTTGGATGGTTAAACTTTGTAGGAGTGTGAATATCAAATGTCCTAAGTGAAAAAATAAAAAATAAAAATAAATAATGAATTAATGGGAGGGTAGTTAAGGAGCACCTACCCATAGCTGCTTAGGTCCCCATTAGTGGTCCTTTAATTTGACGTTCCCATGGCCTAATAAACATGAAGATACAATCACGTGTGAGGATGATTTTTTTGTTTTGTTTTTTTGAAGATGATATTTCTTGATTTGTTGTTTAATTTACAGCCGTCGATTGTGGGATTTGTAGGCCATGCAACTTATCACACGTAAAATAATCATGCAACCATCTGGATGAAATATCTTCTTCACACCTATCTACATGATAATTTTATAGCGCGTGTGAATCCTCGCAACACACTTTTGTCACTAGTTATAATATTTTTAAAGGTATGAGACATTTTCACGTATCTTTATTCGTGAGACAGGAATCGAGTTAATATACAAATATAGTATTTATACTAATAAATGTAATACTAAATAAGAAATAAAATGTTAATTACTTATAAGGAAAAACATAATGCTTTTGATGACAAATGTAATATTTATATATTTTAATGTAAAAGTCTTACTTTTCTCATCAAAATTATTATATTTTCTTTTGTAAGTAATATTACACTTATAAATAAAAATATAATACTTTTGATGAAAATTGTAATAATTTTTACATCAAAATATTATATTTTTTCATATAAGTAATAAAAATATTGAAAAGCAAAAACTTAACTTAAAAAAAATTGAAACATGGGCCAAATCAAGCTCTAACTTTTTGGTTTGGCCCAATCATGCAAATTATGCTATGGATTTGTGTTCACAGTGCATTGTGGACACACGTCCAAAACAACATCGTTTTCAAGGAAAATGACGGCATTCCAGTTTAGAAAAAAAAAAGATTTTGTCTCGCCGTTGATGGCGTTAACGGCGTTATTCGTTTGTGGAATTATGAATGTACAGTTATAGAATTATGAAATTATAAACACAGAGCTCTGACAGTCTGACATTATAAACTTACAATTATGAACATATAGTGATAAAATTATGAACATAGAGCTCTAAAATTGTGAACATAGAGCTTCGAAAATTATGAATTTACAGTTATTGAATTATGAATGTACAGTTACGAAATTATGAATGTACAGTTATGGAAGTATGAATGTACAATTATGAAATTATGAACAAATAGCTCTGACATTATGAACATATAGTGATAAAATCATGAACATAGAGCTCTAAAATTGTGAACATAGAGTTTCGAAAATTATGAATTTACAGTTATTGAATTATGAATTTACAGTTATGGAAGTATGAATGTACAGTTATGGAATTATGAATACAGAGCTCTGACATTATGAACATATAGTGATAAAATTATGAACATATGCTCCTATAACAAAGCGGTCTGAAATTTAAAAAAAAAAATGGTGGAAGATAATGGTGCCACTAATGGCACCGTTACCGTGTCTACAATGCACGCTGGACACGGATCCATAGCATAACGATTGACCAAAACTGATTTTTTACTTTTTTTTTTAAAGACAAAACTGAATTTTTACTGTGCAGCTTCATCCAGTCCAAATGGTAATTGCGCAATAGTTATCACGTGGACCGTCAGCTGTTTGGACCACAGTCTAAAAATGATGATGTTTTATGTATTTCTTTCACGCGGCCAATTACAACATACATTTTTATAAACTAATAATGTACTTTATTTATATCCTAATTCATAAAGTACATTATCTTACCTCAAAAGTTTTATTATTCTAACACATAAAGTACATTAGTCTAACACATAATGTATATTATTCTAACACAAAGTATATTATTTTAACTCATAATGTACATTATTCTAACTCATAAAATTCAACAACGTCATTTTAGACTGTGGTTCACAATTTCCACAAAGTACTTTGTGGACCACGATCCACACAATAATTTGCCGTAATCGAGCTGGTGATAGACTCAGCAACTCATTTGACACCAATTAGAGGGGTGGAAAGTTGGAAACAAAGAAAGTGAGCATGTCAGAGATCTAAGAAATGAGTGTTTCTCAACTTGACCAATATTGATATTTCCAGTTGACTTTATTTTTTTGAATTTTTAGACAGACCTTAAATTCAAACTGTAAATTAAATAAATGTTGTGCAGTGGCTCGTTGGAATTATTACTAACTTTTTGTTTTTCTTTTAATTGCAGTCATTTTTAGTATATTGAGATTAAGAATGAAATATATATTGAAATTATTAAGGGTGTGTTTGGTTGATGAGTTTTGTCTATAGGAATGGGTATGAAAGTGATTGTTATTGTTTGGTTGATAGGTTTTTAGAACACAACTATGGGTTTCGAATACCCCATCAATTGAAAAACTCATACCCAAATAAAATAAGGGTTTCATTCCCTTATTCATTCTCAAGAACTACTATTAGTAACCATTCTCATTCCACCCTACTACCAAACATGTTAAATACTTTCACAAAAACCCATTACCATTACCAAGTATTTGATACCCATTCCGATTACGATTCCAATTTGCGAACCAAACACACCCTAATATTTTCAAACCTTTATAAAAATAAGGTTATTTTTAAAAATAATTTTGTTGATTACTTAACCATAATAATCAATAATATAAACAGCTTAACGATGGAGAATTTTTATTCAAAGAATAAAATCGACAATAGAGTTGACCGAGTATGATTGTGCCATGTGTGAGTCAAATTACACTACACCAACCATT